CACAGTAGTTCCAGTGCCAAGAAGATTTTTACTATTATTCTAACAGTAATAACAATCCCTTTAATAAACATAGTCCGATTTCCATCGTGTTTGTACTCATTTTAATCAGAAGAATCTCAGCTGTTCACTGGTGCAGCAATCGCGAAAGTAGAAATAAAAACCACCGTACACTTTGTCCACTCGCGGCCTTCTATCGATATCCACAACCGTCCCCTTTCGTTTCACTATACATACACAGACTCATCTCCAGATACGTACTGCGCGACGCAGCAATTCCGTGTAAATTTAATCGCGCGCCGCTACACAGGGATCACAGTAATTTTTCTCCTGTTTCTACAAACCCGCGCGACCATGAAACCCGTAACAAAATTCGCGGCGGTCGCATTCGGCCGTAACGGGGAAAATCAAAACGCGCTCTCGACGAACGATCAGCCGAAATGACCGCGGAACAGACTCTTCGTAGCACGCGTTTCGCCGTCACCGAAACGAACGTCAACCGTCAGCCTCGCCGCCGTCGAACACACACACATACAGAGAGACACACATCGCGCGCGGCGCGCTCGAATATCCATCCCCCGGCTCGTCGGCCCGGAATTACTGTGTCGGATGGTAATGGAATCCAACGTGTTTCGTTACCGGCGAATTTCTATCCGCGGGACGAAATCATAGTTGAAGGACGCGGGAATAACAGAGGGAGAACGGCCGGCCGGTGATCGAGATAGACCGGACGGAGTTGTTAAACGAGCCTCGACAGTCGGAGAACGCCGGCCGCCGCGCCGCGCCGCGACGGTACAAATCCTCCTGATAGTTAAGGCGTCTTAAGCGGCTTGCGTATGTATCCCGTACAATTCTGCAGGAACGAGGCGTAATTACCTCTTTCTATCCTTGTCGGCCACGCGATACCCTGGGTTCGAAGTTGCAGGCGATATAGCACCGCCCGACCAGGCAGGTGCAAGTCCTGCGGATTCGAGTGCACGCGTGTAGAGCTGTGCAAGTTTAAGATTGACCTAAGAGGCGATTACTGTCTGTCCCAGGGCCGCGCATCAACGGGATTTGGACAACTAGTCCGTCGATCCTAGCAACATTCGGCGAACAACGCGGAGAAGAAACGGTAATCCGGACGATTTAGCCCGTTAACGTGGACGCCGCTGCTCGAGGAACAACGACGCTGCGGGGAAGTGTAAAAGTCGCTACGATTCCCTGCTTGAGGCGCAATCGGAGCAAGAATTAGGGAGAAGTTACTGTGTACAGGATATCCGAAAATTGTAGTATTTTGTAATTAGGTTCCTGGGGTCGTTTGAAGCAACTTTTTCCTTTACAGAAATTTTCTCCGAGGCTTCGTTCGCGAGTTATCAACGAAAAAGCACTGGCCAATGAGAGATCGCGTACGGCTGACGCACCGCCCTCGCGACCACCGTCGATGCGTCAAATGGCCGGCGCGACGGGGTAATGGCCGCAAGGGCGGAGCGTCGGTCGCGCTCGATCGCCGATTGGTCAGTGTTTTTCTTTAATAACTCGTTAACGAAGCTTCGTAGAACATTTTCGCAAAGGAAAGAGTTGCTTCAAATTACCTCAAGGACCTCTCATTTAATTTTGGGACGCCCTGTACAGAAGCGAATTGGCTCGTTGCCCGCGATTAGAGAGTATTAACTTATGACATTAATTTATGCCAGAGAATCGTTGATTTATTAGCAATTATGTTGCTAAAAGTCTTCGTTAATCACGAAAGAAATGAGATCTGATATATTGCTTCGAAGTTGGTCGTGAAAGGTGACAGCGATAACGCGCGACGTGTTATCTCGTCTCCTGGTGTTAACGGGTTAAACGAAATCGGATGAAATGAAATGAAATTAAACTAAACGATATTTAAAAATGTCAGCCTTATTTAGAGGAGCATTTTAACGAAAGCGGCACGTGAAAGTACAGGGCGCAAAGGATTAAAAGGAACCCGCCTGTGCCGGTAATGAGCACATTTCTGCTCCGTAAGAGTAATGTTATGTTAAAAGTGAATGTATTAACTCTTTACTGCGCCGAAAGCCTATTAGTAGGCTTTCATGTCTGCAGTTACCCCGGGGACGAACCTATTAATTCCCCTTTAAATAAAAGGACTATAAAAGAAATTCGCGATACATTATGCTGTGCCGGTTGATTTGAAGTTTTACGATTGTAATTATGCCGCCGGTATTAAAAAAGATTCATTAATGGATATTTGCCTTTTAATTCCGCGGGATTCCAGAGATTCTTCGATAGAGCTAACGGACGATTTTTCTATGGAAATTTATGCGCGATTGTAAAATTTTTATATGTACATATACTCGTCATTATAGTCGGATATCGTTATTGTATAGGGAATTTTTTAAAAGTCTTGCTCTGTCTGCTTGTGCTTTTGTTCGACGACATAGCGTCAGTCGATGCTATTTTTTCAGCTTCGTTAAAAGCTTTACTAAATTCTTATTAAATTTTTATCAAAGAATCGACAAAATTGCGGTACGTTAATCACACATCGGACGTTCAAATAGAAATTTTTTAAAAAGGAGGAACTGTTTCTCCGTTCATTTCGCAGCGTGTGGAATCGATTGTATCGTCGTACCCATGCGTATGTATCATTTATTTCGAAATTCGCGGAGTGTTGTGCGGTGTGTGCGCGCGCGCGTGCGATACGTAGATGTAATATTAGGATCGATAAAGAATAAATAGCGCCAAATGTGGTACGATCGGAAATAGTGAGTCATAGAGAACGTATCGTACATTATTGCGGGTCGCATGAATATATTACCGGACGGCGGGCGAGAGCACGCGCGCGCGCGCGCGCCGGACGAATTTTCAACAACTTTCCACAAATTTGAACGGTTTCCAATTTATACGTTAAAATACAGTATTTACATGTTACAAAAGTCGATAAGCGAACGGCCGGACAGTTTCGAACGCGAATTACTGGACTATACGTAAAGAATGTATGTATCGGGCGAACGATTAAAAACGATTGTAAAGAGGATATGCATCTGATATTAGCGAGATTTTCAGCGGAGCCCGTATACAACGTGTAACAGTTCACTTCGCTCGTCCGAATTAAAATGTCAACGTTCCAAGGGAACGGAACCGGTTGAAAATCGCGACATTTTTCACTCGCAAAATACATTATTCCGTTTCATCGTTTCGTAAAGCCAGTCGTAATCGCGATCGTTCACAGCATATATTATACATCACAGCATATAATATAACATCGAATACTGAATTGTCTTCTTGGCGATTGTTAACCCTTTGCGCTCGAGTGGTGACTCCGAGGCACCGCTGAAACATGTTTACGGTTATGTCTCCCTTACTGACGCTCAGATTGTCCACTAAAATGGATAATTTGGGGAAGAGGAGGTACGATTATATTCGAGCTTTGCGGCTCGTTTTTATAATTGTGGACAATTTGTAACTATAAAAATAAACCGCAAGGCTCGAATAATCGTATCTCCTCTCCACAAATTGTCCATTCTTGCGCGGAATCTGAGCGTCAGTATGGGAGACATTACTGTATATCACATTCCAAGATAATTCTTACGTCGAGGAAATTTAGATTTGGAAAATTGTTAAAAGTATAATTGTTGCGTAAGTCGCAAGGCTCAATTTCACACGCATAAAATGCACTCTGTCATGTGTAATAAAATAGAGACAACCTAAGTCGGAAAAATCATTTTAGATTTACAGTTAAAACGGCTTCGAGCGCAAAGGGTTGAGCCTCGCGAGTCGACAGTCTTGTACAAG